TTTACAATATTCTCCATAAACGCATCTCCTCTTTGAATACCCAGTTGGATTTCAGAAACGACTGTGGCTACCCACTTCGTAATCGAAACTTCACTTTACCCCTCTCGTTCTCCAGGGCTTCCATTAAGAACAACTTCTTTAACTCTGTGTACGCGTTAACGCAGCAGGCAACATCCTGGGCTATTACACCTGGTCCTGAGTAAATATCCAAACAACGTGGCCGACGTGGGAGCCTCCGCACCCCTAGGTAGGATTGACCGTGTGGTCGTACGTTTCTCTTTACAGGAAGAAGGCCTCAATTTTTGCATTAAATGGAAGAGAATCTTTCACAAGATAGAGAGTAACTCCCTCGCTCAAAGAGCTACTGAGCTACACGGGAGGGAGCTCAACAACATAGAAGGGCGGTGGACCACCATATATTCCAACCTCTCAATGTTCACTTCTGAGTTTGCTCCGCAAAGATGGATTTGCAGAAACGGTAAACTCCCCTGGTGGTCTAGAAGGGTAGCAGAGGCACAAACTCGAAAGCGTCAAGTTTGGAGGCAGCACATCAGGACCCGAGGTTACAAAGGTACCTCAGGGCGATCAGTGCCCAGACCGCTTGCCGTGGGGTTTCGGAAACGAGACTGGCGCGGAGGAATAAAGAATACCCTAAAGCATTCCTCTCTAACGTATCAGCTAACTCAAGTAGCGTGTGACAATACGTGTATTTCGTGTTTAATTTTTGAAAATCCTTCCAAACCCATGATGATTTATGGTGACAAAACTCTATCTGTGAGTTGCTTCTCCAATGACATTTCTCACTCACACACACCATATATTATTATTGATCTGTTAATTCGATGCCTTGCACATTTGAATTTTGCGTGGTCAGAGGACGTGAGCGACTGTTTGGCTCTACTTGGACATCATATTTGGCTCGCTTGCTTGAGTGCTTTTGGCCGCATATTTGAGGTTTGCTTTATTGTACATTTTGTAATGATTTCGCTAATTCAGTACTGTAGAACAATGCGGATCAATTGTGTTTTATTTCGGGATTCGTATCGGTTTCGGCTACGCGTCACTCAAGTGTGAATTGGTTGACGTACAATAGGCGCTTTTAAGGACGAGGGCAACCACCCAGTCATAGCAAGCTCGGAAAGTGCGGAAATTTTTAGACACTTCTTCAAAGTAGTGCACGTTAGAGATAACGGGGCACCCGGGAAACAACAAACTCCGAGGCCCATCCCAAGTATAGCAGTGCGTGAAATACTTTCACTGGGGGTTGAGGCCCACCTGAGGCACCTAAATGCGAGCAAATCGGCAGGGTCAGATGGCGTTCATCCAGCCATCCTGGAACCCTTGGCAACGGTTCTTGCCCACCCACCGACCCATTTGTATAACTTATCCCTGTGACACAGCCAACTACCACCTGACTGGAAGATAGCAGCGTTAGCACCTTTCCCAAAAGGAGGGTCCAGAGACTCGTTAGGAAACTATAAACCAGTCAGCCTGCTCCCAATTTCCCTAAAGATCATGGAAATAACCCCAAGGATTGCATCGCACAGTACGTACTGATTCAGGGCCTGATATCGCCCAGCCAGCACGGTTTTGTGCAGAAGGAGTCCTGCCTGTCAAACTTGCTGGACTTCATGAATGAAATCACCCAAAGGCTCGACCGAAGGGGGTGCGTGTGGAAATGGTTTACCTAGGTATCCAAAAGTCCTTGGACTCAGTCAACCACCGACTACTGTTCGGAAACCTGAAGATATTCCGTTTGTCTGAACAGGTCGTCAGACGGATTATAGAATACTCACTAGGCCAGTTCTTCTACACAATCTTCACGACGAATCATCAGCTTGCAAAAACGGGCTAGAACATTAACCGTCTTCGAAAGATCGCAGTTTACAAAATATCCTTTAACGAACTTGCAATTTAGTACGAATAATTATTTCTAAATCACTTGACTCAACACCGTCGCACATGCTGATCAGGCAGCTGTGTTCACTTTCTAACCAGAATTCTTATCAGTACAGATTCTAGATCCAGTACACTGGTCAACTTACATAGCTGATCATTGGAATGGATATTCTTCTGGTGAAAACCTACACTAGGCTTGTCACCCATAATTCTGAAAATCTCAACTCTTTGATGTGTTCGCATTTCTTTTTATCCCACCCACTCCGGTAGCACATGTTGACAAGGCAGCAGTGCTCACCTTTACACCCATTCCAGATCCAGTACACTGGTCGACGTACATAGCTGATCAGTGGAATGAATATTCTTCTGGTGAATACGTTTCGTACATGCCCAATCTGTTTTTATGTGGTAGTGAGAAATCGGGTTTATTCAGTCCGCCTTTTTTGCCAGTGAATAGTCTGTCTAGTGGCAATATTTGGTGACTCTTTTATAGATACAAATTGTAGTCGTCTACTTGACTGTCCGGAACTTCTAAGATTAAATTGCACGATAATTTGCATGCTTCCTTCCCTCCCACTCCCTCATCAGCTAGGTTAAAACCTAGACTGTTTTGAGTTTCTGTCTTCCTTTCCAGAGATCTGCTGCTGTATGTAAAAAGGGCGTTTTCCGTTAGATTGGCTCGATATCCAGTGGCGACTTTATTTGGAGTATAACTGAAAAACCAAAAGCAACATGCAATCAAATCTTCCAATGACTGGGCTGCTTTCCCATCATGCACACTCTGAGTGACCCCCACTTCTGTCCATTCCCGTCCAACGATCTGCAGGCTGCCTCTTGTTATTTTACTCACTGATTGTCGTATTTTCCAATTTTCTCATCACTCATTCGGTGTAACGATTCTTGTTTTTTCTCCTACTTCCACCGACTTGCTCTTTTGGGGCATTCTGCCATCTCCAACCTTTTTCTCTTATACCTTGTCCACTTTGTGTTCCATTTGTAATTATGTTCAATGCGACCTTCAAAGTTTCTCTTTTCGGCTTCTCATATATGGATGATTAAGTTGTACATTTGATCATACCTATGCATGCTTCACGGGTCTCCGTGAAATATACACTTATTATTATTATAACTGCTTGAAAGCTTCTATGAGGTCTCCTCGCATTATCCTTCTCGTGTGGGAGAACAGCTTTAAGTTCCTGAGCCTCTCGCTGTATGAAACACCCCTCATGCGTTCTGTGACCCTCGTGAACTTTCTTTGTATTGCTTAAAGGACATAAACGCCTTTCAACAATTAAAGTGCCCAGGCATGAACGCGGTACTCTAGATGTGGCCTCACAAGGGCCTTGTACAGTGGAACCATCACATTGTCAAATCGGTAGGCTGCAGCCCTCGGGAGTTGATGGAGTGCTCCATTACCTTTGGCCGCAGCTGCCAGACACTGAGGCGTCGGTTTGAAGGTTTGATCTATGCCGATACCCAAGTCCTCAATGTCCTAAATGTCGTTGCGCGTTAGAGGTAGACGACTTTCCGTGGTCTCACTTCACCCATCGCTATTTCTACCGACAGACCAACTGTTGGCACTTGCTTAGGTTCAGTGGGAGTTTTCATTAAACCATCCACTCCTGGATATTGTTCAGATACTCTTACGATTGTGGCACATCTGTCCGGCCTACAATTTTAACGTCGTCGGCCAACAATTAGAGCAGGCGAGTGCAGACCACGGACCATATCTTTGATGTATACGAGGAACAGCATGGGACCAAGCACCGAACCTTGGGGGACCCCACTGCAAGCTCCAGCATACCCTGATATTTCGTCGTCAACTCTCACGCAAAAGTCCTGTTGTGCAGTTAAGCTGTCAACCAATATACTACCCCCCGGAGCAACCCCGAGACATTCCAACTTGTGTAGCAGGAAGCGATGGTTTAGCGAGTCGAAAGCTTTCCTGAAATCCAGGTAGCATACCTCGACTCTCCCTCCTATCAATTCGGCTAGTGACCTCATCCAGGTACGACAGCAGGTTGGTCATGTAGAATTTGCCTTTAACTAAGCCGTGCTGCTTATTGGTTATTAATCTATTTCTCGTTGGGTGTTCGGACAGTAAATAAAATATCCACTCGGGGAGCAACTTATAGTAGTGTGTTCCAAGGGCCCGTACTGGGACCTCTACTATTCCTCATCTACATGAATGACCTGACCAAGAGGATAGTACAACCCTCCTTTCTGTTTGCCGATTACGTAAAGTCGTCGGTGACCTCTCTACAAATGCCATTTAGGGCGACCTGGAAGAAGTCAAGAAGTGGACGGAGGAGCGGCCGTTGCCGCTAAATGCTGGCAATTGCAAACAGTTACTCTTAAGGGGGTCTCTCGCAAAGACGAGGGTGATAGATGGCGCGGTGACTACACCGGTGGAACTCACTGATGGGTATCAGCATGCACTGTTCCTTCCATCCCACAAGACAGTGCGAGCCAACCTCAGCAATGCTACTAAGGCGCTCTTCTTGCTGGGAAGAACAGTAACATCGAAGGACACTTCTTTATTTCTACCCTTTTATCAGGCCCTGGTGCCTACCACTCCTCAAATACTGCTTAGGCGCCGAACCCTGTGCGCGACCAAAACGCTCTAGAACATGTCCATGGATGTTTCACTGGGCTTTTTCCTGCCTTAAGGATGACGTCGTACCCGAGGCGCTTGAGAGAGACGAATGAGGGGAGAACTGATAAAGGTTATAAGATACTGAAAGGACTCTAGCAGGCAACTCTTCTTCCTGAGTGAAAACCCATCATTAAGAGGACACCAGCTGAAGCTGGTCAAACCTCATGCATTAAAGAGAGAAAGGGCAAACTACTTCTCTCACAGGGTGTTCAATACCTGGAACAGACTACCTGATGAGGTTGTCTTGGCGTCTACGCTAGACCTGTTCATAAAAAGGCTGGATGAGTCGTGGGACTTAACCTTCCCTGAATCAGCCTAAAGAAAAATAGTCGGTCCTTGGTGATAGCTTTCACAAACACCGCCTTCCACCCATCTTCTTTATTGTTAACTATATCATCCCCATCTACTTCAACTACCTTCACCTCACCTGTATAACTTGAGCACCCCACTACCTCCTCGTAATAGCGTACTTTTATTTTCTTATCTTAACCTATTTTCGCATGCCTGCGAGTTTTCTACTGTTTGCTAGGGAGGTACTTGGACCTCCTGGTGAGCCTGTGACTGATCAGCTGGTGATGCTTTCATCGACAGCAATCCGGATTGGCGTCCCTGCTCCGCTGCAGTACCTTAAACTACCAAGGACCGACC